CATTCAACTAAATGATGCCATGTGTACAAACATTGACAGCCGGTCCCGCACTTGCTAGTTAACTTAAAGGGTGGCTTAAGCCAATGACGCAACACCCCCTGAGGACCATCTTTAATAAACAATTCCAAACTTCCCTCAATATCTACAATGTAAACAAAACATTACAATAATTTGTCAATTACTAAACAAAACAATGCCATATTAAATAAACTACATAACACAAATTTAAATAATAATAATGTTGCTCTTAAAATTAAAAATAATAAAAAATGAAAATAATAATAATAATAACAACAACAATAATAAGAATTATAAATTTATAATGATTTTTGAAAAAGTAAAAGAATTTGAAAATTTCATGTCTGACTGAAGGTGTTTCGTACTACTTATACCAGATTTAGAATTTCGAATGTTTAACATATAATAAGTATATTATAATTTATATTTTTTAATATAATTATTAATAATTATATATATATGGGCAAATCCACGAAACTTTTAACTTTTGTAATTCGCAAATCGAACACTTAAAAATCTGAATTATTTTAAATTAAAACCTTGGGTATCATTTTTTTTTTTTTTTTTGATAAATTATATACAAACATTTAATGTAATTTATTAACATTATAAAGAGTTTAAAGACTTGAACATTGACGGCGTGAGCTAAGAATGAATCACGCATATGAATTTATAGTGCTAAAATGTACTTAAACCTGTATACAAAGTGACATCAATGTGCCTGCACATTAAAAAAAGAAATTTTTTTTTCTTGAAAGTTAAAAGTTTCGTAGATTTGCCCATATATATAAATATACTTATGTAACAAAAAAGATGTCAAATTTTTTTTTTAATTAAGGGAGATGGCTACTGTAACATAACCTCAAACTAAAAACTGGTTTTTAACAAAAAATCATTTTTAAATTTAAGGTTATGTTACTGCCTATTTTTTAATATTTAAAATTATTTTTTTTATTTCAAATGGTTATTAAAACCACAATCAATCACAAAATAATTATGTAATTAAAATAACAATCTTATATAGAAATAATAATAGATATTATAATCTGCAGACGACAGATAACTAGTAAATGCAGTCACCAGAGTACAGAATGTAAATTACCATGTGCAATTTAAAGTAAAACGTTCAAAATGTGACACCTTTTTTGCGTGAGCTTTTTAAAGGTGTTTACACAGCTCGCTAATTTTTAGTATACAGAAAAAAATAGATGCAATTTTTTGGCGGAGAATTTAAAATTAAATTTTTTAATACACTAAAACGTCAATCGAGAACACGTCAGTCGAAAACAGAGCAAGGGAACACTTGAGGGGAAGTGGGGAAGCGGGTAGAATTTAGGTTATGACTGACGCCCAAGTCGTACTTGGGATTTTTAAATTTAAGGTGGATTCAGTGCCCCACTAGTGAAAATCCCCTAGATAAAATTCACATTGTTGCGTAAGGCACTTCATACGGCCCTGAGTGTTTTTATTTTCGAGCGATAAAAATCGCGTCAATCCAGAACAGCACTGCACATTCATCTGTTCTCGATTGACGTTTTAGTGTATTTCCCAAAAAACACAAAGGTACAAAGATTAAATTATTTTTTAGTTTATTATACGTATATTTCAATTATAATTTGTTCTTTGTACCATTGCATTTTTTAGTAATATTTAAAATCTAATTTTAAATTCATCGACAAAAAATCGCATTTATTTAATTTCGTTATTTTAAAAACTATTGTGGTATGTAAACACCTTTAAAAAACACACCCGAAAAAGGTGTCACATTTTGGACGTTTTACTGTAAATTTCATATGGTAACATTCCGAACTCTGGTGACTGTATGTTACCAGTTATATGTCGTCTGCAGTTTATAATATCTATTATTTGTGTGTACCATTGTTATTTCAATTGCATAATCATTTTTGTGATTGATTGTGGTTTTAATAATCAATTAAATTTAAAAAAAATAATTTTAAATATGTGACGCTCCACGAGAGAAGGGACTTAACGTGCTTTTGACTTAAGGTTCATTCACTGTGTCATTGTACGGTAAAAGCGAACCTTAAGTCAAAAGCACGTGAGGTCCCTTCTCTCGTGGAGCGTCACATATTAAAAATTATGCGAATTGTAAACAAAGTTATCAAATATTTTCAAGCCAAATTGGTAATCATTAGAAAAACTCTGGCTATTTTTATATTGATAAACGCTTAACGAGAAAAGGGACCTTAAAAGCAAAAAATTTTAGGTTATGTTGAATGATAATGTTAGCTTAATTAAACGTAAAATTGTGTAAAATCAAAATTAGTTTCTATTGTATACTTTGAATCTAATAAAGATATAAACATTCGTGATTTGTATTATAGAGATAATTCTCTTTACCTATTTTCAATCCAAAAATCACAAACATAACCTAAAATTTTTTGCCATTAAGCATCCCTTTTCACGTCGAGCGTCACATATATCTATTACAATTTCTATGTTAAAGTTAATTTCTCATCAAATGATGTTAAAATTTTACATTCAGAAAAACATTTACGAAAACGAAAAATTAGACATGTATTATATTTTAAAAGAAAATAGTTCAATTAACTTTAAAACTGATGTTGAAAAGTTAAGTTATATTTATTTACAGTTAATATCATAACAATTTTTTTAATATTATACGTTTGTAAACCGACCTTTATACATTCAGCACTTTTTATATGAACCTTCGCTTGATACCGTTTTGATTCTCAATACTAAATCTACTTTTCATTGATCTTTCTAACCTACAAAATTGAAACACATATGTCAAACATGTGTTTCAAAAAAAGTTTTATTTTTAATTTATAATTTTTAACTTAACATATGTGACGCGATCTGAAGAAAGGGACCTTAGAAGCAAAAAATTATAGGTTACATTTGGAAATTTTAAAGTGAAAATACACAAAAACGTTCAACTCGTAATGCAAATTAATGATACTTAGGCCTTCATTAACTTCAAAATATTTAATAAAGACTAATTTCAGTTTAAAAAAAACAAAAATAAACTTTTAGTTCAAGTAAAACTGTCTTAATGATAACCTATAATTCATTTGCTTCTAAGGTCCCTTTCTTCAGATCGCGTCACATATATAATATTTTTTCAATTCAATTTTCAAAATTAATTAAACGTACATGTTTCATAATTATATAAAAAATAATTTAAGTAATAGCTGCTTCTTACAGTTTTACATTTTTACAGATGACTAAAATTATTATAAATAAAATAACAAAAACTCATTATGTATATAAACTAAAATGAAACAGACGTGACAATGTCGGTATGTATTCTTCATAAAAAGAGCTTTAATCTTCGTTAGAAAAAATTCTAAAAAGATTTATCTTTGCAGAAATGTATCTGATGAGGACACAGAATTCTGTGTCGAAACGCGTCATGTCAATTGTTGCAATAAACTAAAAGCCATTTAGGCCAAAAATGAAAAAAAACATCTTTTAATTGAAATATATCTATTACCTGACAATTTATCATAAAAGATCAAATAATGTACAAAGAAGAAATTTGATATTTAAAAAAATTAAAACAACAAATATACAGTTAAAGTAATTGAATATAAAAGTTGAATAATGAAATGAGTAAAGTCTTGTAAAGTAAATTTAATCGGAATGAGAGTGAGAGAGAGAGAGAGAGTTTGATTTAATAGCACAAGAGAAGACACAAATATTAGTCTCTCTCAACTGAATGTCATTGAGTGTATTGAGGCTGAGGCGGAAGTCGACTGGAACCCCTGACCAAGAGTCATTGGCAGGACTAATTGCAGGGGCGGCATGCTCCCTTGCCTCTGCTTCTAACCCCAAATCATTCCCCTTAACCCGAAGGGATTTATGCTCGCGATAATTACATTAGCATTCAATGATTTTTATTGGATCATCCCGAATGGACCTAATGAACGTTCAGTGCTCTGATCTTTCGATACGTGAACGGTAAAATAATGTTAATCTTTTGCTGAGAGCGAGAGAGAGAGAGAGAGAGAGATAAAGGAGGACGCTGGGGACAATAAATCGTCTGCTAAATTAATTTCAATTATTATTTTCCACTCTTTTATTTTTCTTATGCCTTTTGTATATTTAATTAATTAATTTTTTTTTCTAAAATTACTCTCCGTCAATAATAAATTTTCAACTTGACTATAAATAATACATATTTGATTAAATATAAACACTTGATTTTTAGCTGAAAAATTATACATGTGATGCTCCACTAGAAAAGGGAATTTAGAGGCAACAAATATTATTAATATAAATCACTGATGTTTATGTCTTCATTAGATTCAAAATATTCAATAAAGATTTTGATTTTACGTAATTAAAGCTTAATTAAGTTAAAACCATCACTTTAAATTAAAATTTTTTTCATTTAAACTCTCTTTTCTCGTGGAGAGTCACATATATTATTTTTACTTTTTTGTCTTTTTCTAACGGTCAAGAGAACACGTGGGTTAGAAAAGGATAAAAATTTGTTGGCATATTTGGCCGCGAATGTACATATTTAATTTATTGTATTGTAAACACAGCCTAACAGTTAAAGACAATTTGGTTGCGTTTGTCCTCACTCGACATTTTTAATAATTTCTCGTCAACTACCGCACCCTGTTCTAGTGAAAATTTAGTGACTTCATAGTAACATTTAATTTTAACTATATAAAGTCACTAAATTTTCACCAGAGCAGAGTGCGGTAGTTGACGAGAATTATGACAAATAACAAGTTGGTTACAATGGCAACCTTCCTTCGTCAAAAGCAAAGTTGGGTAGGATTGAAATTTACGGAAAGTATGTTTAAGTGTTTAAGCTGGGTTCACAATACAATACATTTCACCCAACATTGCTTTGGACGAACATATTTTGGACTCTTGCTTCTCAACCCTGTTTGTCTACAAATGTGTTTTTATATTTTAAACCCTTTTTAAAAAAAAACGGTGCAAAATGAAATGTAAATTTTGAAAAAAAATGTTTGTTTCAGGTTGTGCCGCTCAGCATGCGCTTTTAGGAAAGACAAGAAGGCCCCGAACAGCCTTTACTTCACAACAATTGTTAGAATTAGAGAAACAATTTCGACAAAATAAATATCTTAGCAGACCAAAGAGGTTCGAAGTTGCCACCTCGTTAATGTTAACTGAGACACAGGTAAAAAATTGCCTCATTAATTATTATTATTATTATATTAAAAAAGTTTTTTTTATGTATGTTTCACAAAACTTTTCTTTCTCTCTAATACTTGACATTTCAATTAATTTGGCACATCAAATATATCCTTAATTCCTTGAAGCAACATTGATTACCAGCGTGTTTGGCTAATACTTAAGTTAAACAAAAGCCACCATTAGTCTAATTTTATTATTCAAGCAATTTCTCATTGGATTTGTCATTTCCTATATATATAAATATAAGCCAAGAAACACCTCAAATTCCTTTTATTCGTGCACTTAGTCTAAATGAAAGTTCGTCAGAGACGATAAATATACTAAAAGTGTGAAAATTGGGGAGAAATGAAGTGGGGTTTAAGGAGTGAGGAGAAGGATGAAAATGGAGTGAGAAAAGAAGATGATTTTAACGGTGTGTGGGTTGGGGTAAAATGGAATCAGGGTATGGGGTAGGGGGTGTATATAGCCAGAAGAGAGATAGTGGATGGTGCAGAGGGAAAAAGACCCTTGAGAGAAATCCTGGAATAATCCGTCCCTCCGAAAACTCGCATAGTTCAACAACTTAAACATAACTCTGAAGCTTACGAGCACTGACGGATCGCTCGGCAAACATACCTTAAAAGTCTGAGTTATGGCGGCTCAGTCCCTGATTTGTTTCGATATTTTACCGATTCTACTTCAAGCTTCCGTGTATGAAGCCATCGATTTCCTCTTTTCTGGCTTCCTTGCCTTCGTTTGCGGAACTCTTCTCATATATATATATATATGCACCTACCTATATCAAAGTTCAGACAGAAAAAGAAAGAGATTTAAATTTCACATGAAAATGAAATCTGATTAGCTCTTCTAATCTCAATAGTATTTTATTATTATACAATTTTCAAAAAAAAATTAATTTTATAAAAATTTTGAAAGTACACCGAGAAAAAACATTTCTTTGATTCAAAGAAATCAATTTCTTTGACAAATTTTTCTTTGATTCAAAGAAAATTTATTTGTTTCAAACAAATTATCTTTGATTGAAAAAAAATTGTCTTCGTTTCAAAAAAAAAAATTGTCAAAGAAATTGATTTCTTTAAATCAAAGAAATCTTTTTTCTGGATGAACAATTGTAATTTTTATACGCAATTTTTACCAATTAAATATTAAAAAATTATTATTTGGCCATAAATTTTGTCTCAAAATATTTTATTTGTTATAGAAAACAACTTTTTAGTTTGAGGTTATGTTAATAGACTAAGAAACCTTAATTATTTAACTTTTAAAAAAGTGAATAAATATTAAGTTTTGATTCAGTAGCATATGTGACCCTTTACGGTGAAAGGGACCTTAGCTGCAAAAAATTTTAGGTTATATTTAGTGACAAATATATCTATTAAATATGTAAAATCAGAATCTATAATGAAAACTTAAATATCAGTATGGTTTGTTGTATTAAAAGTTGATGTTCTTTGTGTATTTTCACTTCAAAAGTTACAAACATAACCTAAAATTTTTTGGAATTAAAGTCCCTTTCACTGTATAAAGCGTCACATATGTAAAACTATAATCTCGATTAAAAATTTGAATTAAAATATATATTAATTTAGATTTTAAAAACTTGGTTTATTTACATATTTTTAAAATAGAAAAATTGTAGATACTATGGTCAAAACCCAATTTTAAATAGAGCAAAGGGGTTTATTATTTTTATGGGTATTTTTAAAACGATTTCAATTTCTTTCATTGTATTCCTCTTCTTTCTTATCACATATCGTTGTATTGTTGAAAAAGAAATTCAATTTTTCAATTAACATGAATCATATTATAAGATCTAATCGATCAATTAAGAGTCTAATTCGGTCAAGTGATTAATATATATATATATTTTTTTTTTGATAAGATTTGATGTATTAGTGCTTATTCACTGAACATGTACATCACAATTTATATAAAATAATTTTTTAACTTTATTTTTTTTAATATTTAAATTGGTAATATCATAGTAATACAGAAGTCACCATCAGACAATTGTTGCAACATTAATCAACTGTATAGTTAATATAAAAAATAGTAATAACATAAATATTTAACATAACCTAAAAATTTCTTTAAAATTCCAACTGGAATTTTCAAAAGAATTTGTAACTTTTTTTGTAAACAAGTATATTTTATACGTGACTCGAATTTTTAATCTCTATACATGTTTCACACTATTGAAATAAAGTTTAGTATACATACAGCTTTAGTATACACACATATATATAAAATTGGAATGTGAGACACGAGAAAAGACATAAATCAAAAAGACGAATACGGGAACTCGATTTTCCTCCCTTATCCGAAAGATACGATGTAAATCTTTTGGACAACATATCATGTCTAAACCAACCCCTATCTCATCCCCAACTCCATTTGTATTACCTTCCACCCTTCGAACATGTACCTTTATTCGCACTCACACGAATACAAATGAGAGTCATTCAGGTGTTTCATTCAATCGTACATATATATAGCTCAAAAATTGGTTGGGGTACACTTTTTCGAAAAAAATAGTTTGAAAACTTTTTTTTGCTAATAAACTTGAAAAGTTAACTTTCAAACTAAATTTTTTATATAAATTACGTAATTTTGAAAAAAAAAACTTTTTTTCCTATTTTCAAGGGTTAAGAAAAATTTTTAACAGAAAGCGCTTCACAGTAACGGACATCCCAATTACAGAAAAATAACACAAAAAAAAGGTGGGTAAAAAGTTGTAAAGATAGAGGATAAAAGTCGTTAGGATACAGGGTAAAGGATAAATTTGTGATGGATAAAAATGTTACTAAACTATTACTAGAAAAATGGATGTCATATTTGAGTAAACTGTCTAATTTTAATAAAAATATTAGTAATTTTACACTTAACTTATTAAATCCACAAATTTTATATAAATAAGTAATTGCACGTGGAAATATTTTGCCTATAATTATTGTCTATTAATAAAAATATCTTTGACTAATACAACTGACAGCTGACGACAGTACGTAAATAATCAGAACTAGGAAATTACAACTCAACGTCTGTATTGTTGCACGAAAGCAGAGTTGGGTAGTAACTGAATTTTTTGTGCATATTAGGCTGTGTCAGTTCATCGAAATATTTCGAGTTCAAGATATGACGTCAGAGACCTGGAGGGACAACAAACAGACGACACAATGTTATTCTTATGGGGAAGAAAATTTGTTTCCACTTTCATCAATTTTATTCATACTTAGAACATGGAAAACGCTTGTTGACATCTAATAAAATTAAAATGTGTGTTGATAATTAATTTTGTTATATATTTGATTCAATTGCATTGATAGATTCTCTGAATTCGTGATAAAATATAAATATTGAGGTTAGAAAAGTTTGTTTACTAATCACATTTTACATTTTAACATTATTAAACAATATTCAGTATGCATGTTATTAAAAAAGATATAAAATATATATTTTAAGTGGGAATTACCGCAGCAGTAAAAGATTTCAAGTTAGTAAACAAACACCCCTAACCTCAAAATTTATATTTTATCACGAATTCAGAGAATCTATAAATGCAATTGAATCAAATATATAACAAAATTAATTATCAACACACATTTTAATTTTATTATATGTCAACAAGCGTTTTCCGTGTTTAAAGTATGAATAAAATTGATGAAAGTGGAAATAAATTTTCTTCCCCGTATGAATAACATTGTGTCGTCTGTTTGTTGTCCCTCCAGGCCTCTGACGTCACACCTAGAATCGACTCTGACGTCACAAGTGACGGAGCCTAATATGCACAAAAAATTCAGTTACTACCCAACTCTGCTTTCGTGCAACAATACAGACGTTGAGTTATAATTTCCCAGTTCTGATTATTTACGTACTGTCGTAAGCTGTCAGTTGTATTAGTCAAAGATATTTTTATTAATAGACAATAATTATAGGCGAAATATTTCCACGTGCAATTACTTATTTATATAAAATTTGTGGATTTAATAAGTTAAGTGTAAAATTACTAATATTTTTATTAAAATTAGACAGTTTACTCAAATATGACATCCATTTTTCTAGTAATATTTTAGTAACATTTTTATCCATCACAAATTTATCCTTTACCCTGTATCCTAACGACTTTTATCCTCTATCTTTACAACTTTTTACCCACCTTTTTTTCTGTGATAATAAAGTTGATTTTATACAGAAAAATTATTGTAAAGTATAACGAAATTATTTTTTTTTGTTATTCGCAGGTAAAAATCTGGTTTCAAAATAGACGAATGAAATGGAAACGTAGCAAAAAAGCACAACAAGAACCAAGATCAAGTGGAAAATCAGATGATACGGGAAATTCACGAAGTTCAGATCGTGAGATTGGAAATGATGTTTCAATAAATGTGTCCGCTGCTACAGAAGATTCAAGAGAAACCTCCCAAGAGAATTCGAGAAACATCTCGGAACTTCAAGAACCACTTTATCGTCCTTATGTTGTGTAAATTGTACGAGGAGTTAAAATAACAAAAAAGAGACTCAAAAAAAAAGAGAAAAAAAATTCGGTTGACATGAACCAGTGTAGCAAAATGTATGATAATAAATGTGTGCTCACTGCTCAATAACAAAAATTTTGATGTAAAAAGTGTCATAAATATTATAATAATCCCGTTAATTTTCACGTCTTTTTTTTACAAATATTTTGAATTCAATTTTTCGTATTATATTATAGATTTGAAATGTCAAGCGTACAATTTTTTTACAGAACGATATATAAAAAATAAAAGATTAAATAGATAGAAACAAATTAAATTCATATACCTCTAATAAATTAAAATTACGAAAAAAAAATTGTTATTAATTTTTTAAGATCAATTATTATTGAGTTTCTATACGTTAAATTAAAAGATAACAAATCTTCATTTTTTTTATTTTTTGACGATATAATCATCGTAAATGTTAAAAAAAAAATTAATCAACTTTCCATATTGTCGTCGCAAAATCCAAAGATTGTAAATATAAATAGGAATAGTTTTAAAATGTACATAAAAAAAATCTCGTTCAGTCTCAGATCTACTAGTTATAATTAAATATAGTTTAAAAAAAATTGTGAAGAGTGTGTTTTTAAAAGAAAAAGAAAAATGAAAAAGGTATGTGAAGAATGATCTGAGTTTGTTTATTGATGAAATTCTACTGAAAAAAAATAAAATATAGATGATCAAGCTGAAAAAACGTTCTTCCATTAATTACTATTAAAAAAAAAAATAATTGCATAATACTTTACAAATTTTTGTTATTTTTTCTATAGTTGATTTTTGTTTTTATATTTTTGCCTATTTATTTTTCATTATATTTCACTAATAAAATATCACCGTTTTGATTTAATATATTTTTTTCTTTTCTTTCTAACAAATAATTTTACATTCCAATGATAAGACATTTTTAATTCTCCTTAAATGTTACCAAAACTTGACCACCTTCCATGTGATTCTGTTTGATTTTTAATAAAACAAAATCATAAAAAAATATATCTATATATTAATAAATAAAAATAAAAATTTTCAAAATAAGGATCATATATTTATAAATATATGTACAGAATATGAATTAAGTGCACGAACAAAAAAAAACTAGCGAATGTGATGCAAAAACCTCTTACACATATTGCAAAAAGTTCCTAAATAAATAAGAAAAAAAATTGAGTTCTATAACTGTGTTTTCATTTTCCTTCTTCAATAATTTTTTTTCTTCATTGCTGCATTAAAATATATATTGTTATATTTTTTAAATACCAAAAAGGATTCTATGATTTTTTTCACATTTTTTTAGCAAACTATTTATTGAATTTTTTTTTCAATGAATTTTTTTAAATTTTAATTATGTGATTTAATTTATTTTTAATTTAATTTTGTTATTTAATTTATAAATAATTTATATATTAATTATAAATTATATATGAAGTATATAAAATACTTAAAAATAATTTTGAAAAATCTCGCACGCATTGGGGATCGAATACAGGACACTTGGGACGTGAGTCGTGTACTCAAACCAAACAGCCATTTTTACTTAAAAATATTTTACTTAACACTTCATAAATCCTATAATAAAAAATTAATAAAACACTTTTATAAAATGATCCCCTTTAATTTGTCAATATTTGTTATTACAAAAATATAATTAGAAAAATTTATTTTCTTTTCATTTTTTAGAAATTAGAAAAACTGGTGAGGCTCTGACAAGTGCCTTTTTGAATCTACTAAATAGTCTATTTAGGGTTTCGCCCGTGAATTCTGGTCAAAAATCCTTAAAATAAAAAAAATTATTAAAATAATAGTACCTACACCCAGAAAAATGTTTCGTTGAATCAAAGAAATATTTCTTTGATTTAGGGTCAAAGAAAATTTGTTTAAATTAAGAAAATACTTTGTCAATTTAAAACAAAGTTTCATTTAGAATGAAGAAATTTTCCTTGAATCAAATAAATTTTTTTTTAAATTAAAGAAAACATTTCTTTGTCCCTATCAAAGACACTGGAAAGGCCCTGACCGTAGCCCTATTTTAAGTATAGGGAAAAATGGGTTAATTTATGCACGGGATGACGATGTTACAATTTTTTTTGCAAATTTTTTGATTTACCTATATAAAATTAATAGTTAGATCTAGATAAGAGAAAAAGTAAACGTTTTCCATGAAATGTCTTGTGATTTCCAGTTCTATTAGTATTTATGATATGCTAATCTCCAGTTAAAAATTCCGCACAAAGCTCTGTGGGCTGGTACATGAAGCTTGAAAACCGGAAACTGAAAACCAGTCGTTTGGAAATGGTATACTGTTAAGGTGAATAAGGGGCAAAAAAAAATCATCGGTAATATTTGGTTATGCTAGAAATCAATATATTCTTATCTTCTATATGTCCTTTCTTTTATATTCTCATGAATAATATAAGAATTTACTATACATAGGTATATATATTATATACCCTTGTAAATAGTCTTTCGCTTTTTTGTAAATTACAAAAAATTATGCGACCGCCATTGAAACAAAACGAAAAGTCTTGAACACGAACATAATGCAAAATTTAAATTTCCTTATTAAATATTAAATCATTTTTTTGGTTCTTTTCACATAAATTTAATATTTAAACATTTAATTTTGTTTGTAAAGATATTTTTTGTTCATCCATATTATGTTTAATTGAAACTTAAGTATTGGGATCTGACATTCGTACACATGCCATCTGGTGTTGAAAAATGTAACTAGTTTTGGATAACTGTTTGTGTCACTTGCAATTGTAGTTCCGCTGTCATTGTTAATTATTTTATCATTATGAATGAAGCTACATTTTTACCGCGTGAGAAATCTTCCTGCAGAATTAAGTGTTCTGTGAGAGGCTGTGGCAGTACTGTAGCGAAAAATTTAAGTGTAATTTCCCATACATTTCCGAAACCAAAACAACGAGTAGTGGATGTGAAAATACGTTTGATAATTTTGAAAAAGTCGATCAATTAAAGGCCTGGAAAAATGCTTTAAAAATATAAAATAAACAGTATAAAGCCTTCTATGAGAGTATGTTCTCTGCATTTCAAAAGAAGTGATTACATTTTGCCAGGTAAGTTTAAGATTTTAAAATTTGGAGGTTATATAATCTTTTATATTACCCGTGCATGTGAACATTTTGAAAGTTAATTTATCACTGTAAAAACGGATAAATAAATTTTTTTTTCAGTTCTTGTTAACAGACTTTTACAATGAAAAATGAAATACATACATTTATAAATTTTCATATAATTTCATGAAATATAAAGGAAAATACAATACTTTTCTTGCATGTATCGCTGGATTTGAGAAAATAATTTGTATAAAAATAAGATTTCTTTTATATTTTTATTCATGTTTGTAAATAGGAATGTAAATAGTAATTTTGTATTAAAAAAATTCACTTATACATTTATTAAATTAAGCAATATTTTTTAAACGATTTTGTTCTATTGCATCCCATGTTATTCCCATGTAAATTCACTAAAAGTGTTACCCAATTTACGCCATATTGCTTTAAGCCCCGCCCCCATGTCAGATCCCAATTTGTTATATAGTCAAATATATTTAATGATTACTTAACTCCACTCTAGAGGCAAAGAAAAAAATAAGACCAGTAGTGAACTCTGACAATTTTTGGTAGGGTATTTAAGGCAATGAAAATGACTAATTCCATGACATTTCAAAGTAATCTAGATCAGTAATCTAGATCAGTAATCTAGATCAGTAATCTAGATCAGTAATCTAGATCAGTAATCTAGATCAGTAATCTAGATCAGTAATCTAGATCAGTAATCTAGATCAGTAATCTAGATCAGTAATCTAGATCAGTAATCTAGATCAGTAATCTAGATCAGTAATCTAGATCAGTAATCTAGATCAGTAATCTAGATCAGTAATCTAGATCAGTAATCTAGATCAGTAATCTAGATCAGTAATCTAGATCAGTAATCTAGATCAGTAATCTAGATCAGTAATCTAGATCAGTAATCTAGATCAGTAATCTAGATCAGTAATCTAGATCAGTAATCTAGATCAGTAATCTAGATCAGTAATCTAGATCAGTAATCTAGATCAGTAATCTAGATCAGTAATCTAGATCAGTAATCTAGATCAGTAATCTAGATCAGTAATCTAGATCAGTAATCTAGATCAGTAATCTAGATCAGTAATCTAGATCAGTAATCTAGATCAGTAATCTAGATCAGTAATCTAGATCAGTAATCTAGATCAGTAATCTAGATCAGTAATCTAGATCAGTAATCTAGATCAGTAATCTAGATCAGTAATCTAGATCAGTAATCTAGATCAGTAATCTAGATCAGTAATCTAGATCAGTAATCTAGATCAGTAATCTAGATCAGTAATCTAGATCAGTAATCTAGATCAGTAATCTAGATCAGTAATCTAGATCAGTAATCTAGATCAGTAATCTAGATCAGTAATCTAGATCAGTAATCTACATTAGTAATCTACATAACCAATAGAGATCTGCAATTAAGAATCAGAGGGCAGCATTGATTAATTTTCTCATAATCGACTTGGATACTATACAGAGAATAAGTCATTTATTCATTACCTTAAATATGGGGACAATATTGATCCAAGTAATTTATTCATTACCTTAAATATGGGGACAATATATTGGTCCAATATTTAAATTCGAGGCTTGACATTGTTTGAATGATCTAATATTAATTTAATCGTGCTCCTTGAAAATTTTTTTCCACTGGACACTATTGACTTTCTTTTCTTCTTACAATGAGAAATCGATATTTTTAGTTTATTGTCTTTAATTGAAACTTAGTATATTTTTGCCATATAGTTAAACATATTTAAGTTTAATTTGTAAATATATTTTTGTTGATAAATTAACTTTTTCGTTTAAACATAATTTTCTTTTCAAGGTTATTGTGTGCTTTATATACATTAAGTTTAAATGAGAAATAAAACTTTGGTTGATTATTTTATTTGTATTATATTTCTCACTTTGGATGAAAATACCGTGAATTTAATACACACAGAATAAAGTTTAATTTAAAATTATCTCCGAGCGATCAGTACACGTAAAGTAATTTTTATTTAGATTAAGAATTATGTCAAAATCTTAATTACAATGAATGTATAATAATCAATGGAACATCCGAATTGTAACACTTTACAGGGAATGGTAAATTTTTTTGATACATGGCGGGGAACTGGAATGGTTGGTTTCCATTGTTCCCACTTGCCATTTGTCATAATTGTCGTCAACTACCGCACCCTGCTCTAGTAAAAATTTAGTGACTTTATTGTAAAAATTTAAAAGTTACTGTAAGGTACCTAAACTTTTACTGGAGCATGGTGCGGTAGTTGACGAGAATCATGATAAATGGCGAGTGGAAAGAATGGAAACCAACCAAATAGAGGAAAGCAGAGTGAGGCAGGTGTCAAAAATATAAAGATATGACATATTTCGGAAGTTCTAATATATTTCCAATAGACATTCATTTTTCTAAATGTAAATATTAGCGCTATTTTTGCAATTCATTTGGCATTCTGAAAATATACTCATAAACAAAAAATTGAAAATAATTTTTTTTTCTTTGAAAAAATAACTCACATGATAAAATATAATCGTGAAAAAAAGTAAAATGGCACTCTGCCAGATCACCTCATCTGTATACGCGAAGCAGAGCCCAGTCAGCAGATAAATCTGTTATTTCCATTGAAGGAAGTAAAACTAAGAGTAAAAAAGAAAATTGAAAGTAATTTGATTTTACAAACTATAGCTACTTTTTTTCTATTTTTCTATAATAAGTATATGTATAATAAATGTAATTAAAATCTTCCATTTATTATTT